TTTCTCTGTTTGGACCATTGGCCTGTGGGCTTCAGAATTTACAAACCATGGTGGCAGATGAGGTGAATAACAGGTTTATTTCATATTTAAATTCAGTGGTGTCTGTGGTGCTGATGGTAAACAAATCATGTTGGGGTTTTTTTGACGCTGCTTTCTCCAGCTGCAGATTCTTTTTGTTTGTTTGTTTCTGATGGACCAAACACAACAGGCAAAGTTTTATTCTGACTGTTCCAAACCGCCAACAGGGATGGGAGAAAAAAAAAAAAGGCCCCATCTGAGCACAGAATTTGGAGTCATTCAGGCTTTTTGCAGCTTGAACACCTGCAAAAATCTGATGAGCAGCAGTTAACTAACGAAGGGTCGGATTATTTTGGCCCTTCTCATCCCATTGATGAGATTTGGAGTGCTCAGGGGCTTCAGAGATAAGAACAGCAAAAGTTGGCCCCAATTTTTAGCAGCTGACATTTGGGAATGGAGGTGGAAGTGGGTGTGTGCCTCATCCTGCCCAGGGATGCAGCCAGACATGTTATTAAAATGCAGTGGATATCCTGGCTCTGGCAGATGCCCCAGAGAGATGTTGTGAGAAGCTGCAAAGATGGATCAAACTGATCATTTAGCCTGGTTTGATACGAGTCCATGAGCACTAAAAAGTAGGAGCTGGATGAAAAAAAGAAACCCTAATCTTTCTTACTCGAACCTGGAATGTAACAGTAATGGCTGTAATGTCATTTTTGTTGCATTTGTGCAATGCATTTCGTAGTTTTCCACCTCTACCTTTTGTCCTTGTCAGCACAGGCACTTCTTGGCTCCTTTCCTTTTTCTTTCCTCCTCCTTTTATCTAATAATTCACTGCAACAATTTAAAAAAAAAACAGCAAAAGCAAAAACCACTGAACAAATCACATGGCACGTCTGCCATCAGCAGAACAAATCCCAAAAGCAAAAAAAGGCAGTGATTGCATCAACCTCATCCCTTGGCCTGAATTCCCTTTCCTTCCTCCACGGCCAAACTCCTGAAGCTTTAACTCCATTTTTTTCTCTCCTCTGTCGGGATGAACCTTCCTCAGTGGAATCAATCAGAGAAAAAAAGTGGGTTAAAATGAAATGAGAGGTTCAAGTTGTGGCCTCTCTTCCCCTGCACTGTGTCTGTTCTCATTCCCTTCTACACCTGCCCATGCAACCACCCATATTTTAAGTGTTTTTTTCCCCCCTCCAGCCCCAGCTGATCATGACACTGCTCAGGGATGACTAAAGCAGCTTCATGTGACCGTCTTGTCACTCGGGAGTCATTTTTTTTCCCCCTTGGTTCCCCTCAAACATTCCCAGGGGCCTCAGCTCACGAGCCTATTGCTCCCTCTAGAGCCCCTTCCGAGCTGCTCTGGAGGACCACTGGAATTCTGGGAGGTGGGAACTCCCT